ACTACCATATGATCCAGCAACCTCACTGCTAGGTATATATCCAAAGGAATGGAACTCATCACGTCGAAGGGATACCTGCACTCCCATGTTCATTGCAACTCTATTTACAATAACCAAAATATGGAACCAACCCAAGTGTCCATCGATGGGTAACAGGATAAGGAAAATGTGGTATATATACACAATAGAATACTTACTCAGCCATAAAAAAGAATGAAATTCTGCCATTTGCAACAACATGGATGATTCTGGAGAAAACTATGGTAAGTGAAATAAGCCAGACAAGGAAAGAGAAATACTGCATGTTCTCACTCATAACTGGGTGGAAAGAAAGAAAAGAAAAAAAGAAAGAAAAGAAAGATAGAAAAACTACAAAAATATGTTGAACATTCAGAAGGAGAGAACAAACCTAAGAATACTAGAGATGTGGGGGTGGGGGGAGGGAGAGAGTTTGGGAAGTGATAGGAAGGGTAAAGGGTATAAAGAAAAACTATGCTTTGTAATAAGGAATATGCTAATAATAAATAATAAATAATTTTTAAAAAATAAATAAAATAAAAGACATCTAAAAAAATCAAACATTGAAGACAAATAATAAGAGTTGAAGAAAGGCACAAAAGATATTTAAAACATCTAAACCAAAAGCAATAAAATGCTAGGAGTAAGACAATACATCTCAATAACAATCATAAATGTAAATGGATTGAATTGTCTGCTCAAAAGACACATACTCACAGATTGGATTGAAAAGCTACAACCAACTACATGCTGTCTTCAAGAGACTCACCTCACCTGCAAAGACACACACACAGACTAATAGTGAAGGGATGGAAAAACATACATCACACAAATGGAAACCAAAAACAATCAGGAGTAGCTATTCTTATGTCAGACAAAATAGAGTTTACACCAAAATCAATAAAAAGAGACAAAGAAGGTCACTATATAATGATAAAGGGATCTATCCAGCAAGAAGACATAACAATCATAAACATATATACACCTGACACTGAAACACCCAGATATATAGAGCAAACACTCTTAGACCTAATGAAAGAGATAAACCCCAATATAACTATAATGAGGGACCCAAACACCCCTCTCTAAATACCAGACAGATCATCCGGGCAACAAATCAAAAAAGAAATACAGGATT